TCTATTAACTTAAATTCTGTCTGTATATTGGCACCAGTGAAAAGCCAGATGATGAGTGCTACATCTCAAGGCACTAGGATAGCTGTCCCAACACTGACAATTGTGAAGCCAGATATAGAACTTTTGGTCTATAAAATTGTGATTATGAACAGAGGAACCATGTGAAAGACTGTATTCTGAAATTCTGAAGCAGAACTGGTAGGCTTTATCTGCATTTCAGACCTGATGCCATTAAAAAAAAAAAAGTGCACATTTATTTGCAGTCTTCTTGTCCTGGATGTTAATACAGTGGAATTTTGTAATGCTTTGACTTCCAAATATCAAGCTATTGCTTCAGTAGTTGTTTGCTGATTTACAGGTCTAACTTTGGGCATAATAGTTGAAAAATATGTGGAGATACTAAAACCATGAGAATATATGCAGGAAGGAAAAAGTAAAAGGGGTCAGGGCAGCCACTTGATCTCTCCATTTTATTTTTCCAGAAAGGATGCATCATCTTTGGACCTTGGCTAAAAATGTTGCTGGTTGCACAATAGAATATTGCAGCTTCCAGTGCTTATTGCTGTTTGTTCCCTTGCTATTTGTGTTTTTGTACTCCTGGTATAAGATGTCCCATAACAAACTAGTAAAATTTAGAAATGAAGAGGATGAGATATTGAATTAATGCCTATTGCTTTACCTTCTTTCCGTAGAGGGTTTCTTGCCCTGATAAAATATTGAACATTTTGTGAATGAATGCAACTTCTTAGCTTTTGTACATCATCGTGAACTTGAGGCAGCTGTAGTTGCTGAAGGTTTTGTGCTTGCTGCACTGTTAAGTATGAAAAAATGTGTTGGGTTACCTGGTCCCTCTATGCCTAAGTAATTCACAGTATAATGTTGTTAATCTGCAGTTATCTGAATGCCTTCTATTTGGCACCAGAACAAATAGCTGTCTTTTCTAGCATCTCAGTAGGTTCATTAGATTAGCTTGTTATTTGGATTGAACATTATTTTAATAAAATACAGTATTATAAATTTACTGATTTGTTTGTTAATGTGCTGCAAGGTACCATGATGAGTCATTACAGCTAATCTTATTTGCTGGAATAAATGGACAAGATATATCTGGTGAAGCTATATGCCTGATGTTTTTATATTCTGTCTATTTGCTTTCTTAGCAATTTGCTTTGTTTAATAAATCTGCAGGCTTTCCTCCTCTCATTAGTTCTAGTTAAATATGGAAGGAAATTTCCTTTCAGGTACACTACATTTTCCTTCCAAAACATGATTCTTAATCTCCTTTAGGCAAGGGGAAATAATTTTATGAAAGTGGATATGGACTGTTTTTTCCACAAATCCCACACAATGTTGTTTTTGCATTAGTGTAATTGAAACATGCGGCACACTCCAGCTTTAGTCTGGGTGTCAGTGATACCTTTACAAGTTCCAGCATCATGTAGGCCTTATTGTATAATAAAACAATTTGATGAAACCTGTGCAGAGCTTGTGTGGCCTGCCCAGTGCTATGGGAAGAATCGCAGGGAAGAAGAAAACAGCTCCTTCTTGACAAGATCATCTCTCAGAAGCAAATTAAAATGACCATGTGTGTTATCTGTGCCCATTGCTGTGACGTGCTGCATAACAGTGTATCCCTGACCAGCTATAATCTGTCTTTTCTGTACAATTTAGTCTTCTTCCTAATTTATTTGCTGTTATCAAAAATCAATACTACATTACCAAAGCATATGAATTGTGCTTTTATGTTATTATGAGTAAAATGCTTCTGCTTAAGGAGCCATAGCAATAATCAGCAGGAAGGAAAATAGGATTACAGTGCATTGCTATTCTGTAACGCAGTGTGTTGGAGCACCAAAAGGTCTCTAATAGCATACCTGTAACTTGAAGGGAGGAAGAAAGGGTGTTATGTGCCATTGCCTCTGCTCTTTCTATTTCCTCAGTTCTTTTTGTGCATTCCCTTCTGAGGGAAAATGCTCAAAGGGAATCTAGTATAACAATAACAGTTCATTACAGCGTGCGGTCCAGGCAGAGAAGAGTTCAGTATTGTTACTTGATTTGTTTGGATTGTCAGCAGCTGTAACATCAATAGGTTGAGATGCTTGCAAAGACTTCCTTTCTCTTAAAACATTGCAGTATGAATGAGAAAGCAGTCTTGAGTACTTAAAGTCAAAATATGATAAATGTTTTGTACTCTCTTCTGTAATTTTGGATTTAAAAAAAAAAACTTCTTTAAAATTCAGTTACCATTAGAAATGTCTATATTTGGAATGGTATTGCAATTTGCCAAAGATTCTTTAGACAGCAGTTGCCTTTACAGTTCAGAAAGTAGGAAAGAGGAATGACAGTAGGCTTTTGTTTTGACACATGATCTCTAGTAATAAACAGTGATAGTTGATTTACTTGTTATTACAGGTGGTTCCTCTCTTTCTGACAGTTAATTTTATTTTTTTAATACATTTTTTCTTTATACATTCTTTTCTTTAATACATTTATTTTCCTCTACTGATTATAGTTAACAGTTTGATACTTGGTGTCAGTTTTAGTTGTGATAAACTTTACACAATTAGCTTGAGTTATGAAAAGGATGACATAAGTCAGCAACTTTCCAAATCTTGACATTTCATGAGCCAGCATTTCATGGATGTTGCTTCCCATATAGGAATTGGAATTCAAATTCTGGAAAGTGGTGTTTTCCAAGTATTGTATTTTCATCTTACTAAAACTTCTCATATGCTTTCTATCACCTCGACATCACATTATAATTGAATAAGTTCCAGCATGTGGGCAATTAGTACTAATTTTTACTTTTATTTAATAAAAGAATGTATTGAGCCTCACTATGATATGTATTAATTATGGCAAATTATTCTCAGTTAATTTTTTTTCTGTTCTGTAGCTCTTCCTTGGTCATCTTTTACTTGGCTGTGGTGTTTAGTACGATTACAAGAAAATATAGATAAATTTTTACTTCATTTTGTAAGTAAAATCTAAGTTGGAATAGACAAAATTATCCCAGAGGAGTTCTTATAAGAAAATGACCCCTTCAGTGATTTTGTTTCAGAATTTCTTTCATTTCTTGTACTCTTTCCTGCAGACCTGTTGTGATAGTTGACCCTTTAATTACCAGTTTAATTGCTGTCTTTCCACAAAGATAGGGTTTGTCAAATCTAAGTATGTAACTCTTCTTTAGAGGGAACCATGGTGGAGAAAGACTGAAAGACTGAAGTGTTGGCAAACTAGCAGTATAGGTGTCTGTAGTAGGAAGACTGCATATATTCTGACGGAGTGGCAGCTATGAAAGTGCAGAAGTCAGAAGATATGAAAATTCTCTTAGAAAACTCACATTTACGCAAACACAAATTTAGTAGACCTGTAGTCTACAGAGTGCTTAAGAAAGATGAAGTAGAACAGAAATTGCTGCAGAGTGTTTTGGTTCTTCTGAATGATTACAGTTGTTATATATATGTTTTATATGTTGTTTTTTGTTGACTTTCTTTTTTTTTTTTTTTTTTTTTTTTTTTGCCTTAAGTAGTCTTAATAGCCTGCTTCCCTGAGTTAGCAATAACTTCCTAATTAAATGAAGCTTCAAAGACAAAATGCCAGTTTTTCAATGCCAAAACTTCTCACGGGAGAGTACAGCTTGCAGTTGGTCTCTCAGTTGACAAAGACTGGTGAGAAGGTTAGCTGCTGTAACATTATTATTATTTTTTAATTGGAAAGGATCTTCTGCTTACAAATTTCATTTATTTATGTATTTGATAACCAAAAAGGAGGAGGTCATACATACAACACGTGAAGATGATGATGATGCTATGGAAATGATAATAGTTTTAAAAATTAAACAGATATGCCTTCCTTTGTGATGATACCATTTCAGTGCTTGCCTCATCAAGCATTTTGTCCAAAGGCATTAAGGTCTATTGAAGCCTTATATCTGTCCTTCCTTATATTCTGCTAACCACCCAATGATCTCTTCTTTCATGTCACTTCACGTGCACAGAGGGGCTTATTGTAAGTTCAGAATGCTCCAACTCCCATTGGCTTGGCAAATGTTAAGGCTGTCAGCAGCTATAAAAGCTAATTCCTACACTCTGAACTGCTCTGCACTGACTGCTATAGGCTTGTTATTTTTATGTGGCTTCAATATGTTAATATTATTAGTCTTTTGTGTATCGACATCCGTGTGAAATGTGCCAGTTCTACAGGTGTTCAGGCATTTGAGTAGAATAGTTTGTGTCACTCAGAGACAGTTTAAAGTATGGTCAGCTTGCATCTCAAAATATTTCCCAGTCCCTCCTGTGCAGTCTTTCTTAATGTATGATCATGCATTAAGGCCCAACTTGGTCCTCCCAGAGGACTAAATAAATATGAATTTTCTTGCAGACCTACACCTTGCGATTTTTTTTATTATTTTTTTTCTGTTCATTTCAACTTAATTTGCCTTTGATCTCTCTTCTCTGGAATTTTCTTGAGTGTATCTTGAACCTCCTTCCCCCCATTGAGAAGACAATCAGCTCTATGACCTAAGAGTTTTGGGATGGATGTGTTTTGTTATACTCTGCTGGTATTCTGCAAAATCTGTGTCCTCTAAAAAATCAGCAGGAATGTGACTCAAGATTGCTGTTCTCATTTTTTCTTTAGGCATTAGAACAAAGGCAGACCAGAAAAATAAGAGCAATACTTTTACTGGAGAAGCTGCAGTGTCTACATATTTTAATATTGCCTTCAGAAGACTGTTTCTAGACTCAAGAATCACAGTTTTCCAGTGAAGCCATAGGAGGGCTATGAACTGAAATGCGTTTTTCTTTCCTTGCAGTTTGATCTTTGTTCCATCAATTTTCAGCGCTTTGTGACGATTTTGCTTGTACTCAGTTGTCTATTGAAGAGTGAGTGGTCTTGAGACTTTCCTGAGAGACGCCACCTACGTTTGTCTCTTTGTTAATAACACGACTGCCTAACTGCAGTTGTTTTTAATAGTGGGACGTTTCTTTCGGCACTAGGTGATGCAGATGTACCTCCCATTCTGTGGGATTGCCATATCCAATGCCCAGCTATTTGCAGCCTCAAGGAAGGAATATGACAGAAGCAGGGTGAGTAACAAAATGTAAGTAAGTTGCTCCAAAAGTAATGCCTCCTATTTATTTCTATGGAAACTATCTTAGATACAAAGAGCACAATAACACTATTTGATAGAGCAAATTGTCAGATACAAAATGCTATTTTTTAACGTAGACAACACCATCAGCTATGCATTTTTGCCAGTGATAAAAAAGAGCCTGCGTGCTATGCTCTTAAAAATCTATATAGTTGACAAGATCATGGCTTGTCTTCCATGTTGCTGTGACCACTGCTGAAACACCCACTGCTTCAGCGTATTCACATCTGTTCTTTGGTCTCCATAAACAATTCAGTAAGTGTCAATGAGTGTCAGTGGTGCCATCTTTTTCTGCAAGGAGGAATTCAATGGCATACCTTTGCTTCATATGCACTTCCATTTCAGGCACCATTTTAACAGACTGCCCCTCTACTGCCATCTGTCACGGCAACAGCATGTAATGGAATACTGGCAGGAAGGTTGAAACTACTGCCATACCAGCAATGTCCACCTCTGATGTTGTGGACCAACATAATAACATAGGAGGCAGTGCTTTTTTGAGCAGTCCTCGTGTGTTGGACCAGTATCAAATCTTCATCTTTTGTTCTTTCAGATTCCAGATTTCAGACTTTTTGCTAAGCAGACTGTCTTAACTACATTTTATTTCCACGGATGCATTTCCAGCAGATAGCAAACTTTACTAAGGCAGCAAGCAGGGAACGTGGGAGGAAAAGCTCTTGGTGGTATCTGTTGTTTCCTGATGTCAGTTTCTTGTTTTGGAGTACTGAGACAATTGTACTGGTGACAATGCAGTAGAAAGAGTTACGTTGGCAGTGATTCAAACTCTAGTAAAACTCCAGAAATATCAAAACTTTGGCATGCTGTATTTGTGGTATTCAATTCGTGTGAATAATTTAGATTCATCCTTATAAAAGTAAACAAGCAAAGACTTGTATGTGAAAGATTTCAACAATGTGGATCTGCATAGGTATGTTACTCATGGTTGCTGATGACATGTGAGTTGGGATAGAAGGCTTCAAAGAGGTGAGAGTAACAGTGAGCTCACATGCCCTTGGCTTTTTGGTGTGACTTTTATTTTTTTAAGAAATGAAATTGTGATTCTGGAAGTTTTTTCCTGATTTTTCACACTGAATTTTCAGTTGAAATGCCATCTGTAGTGCCTAACAAATCTTACTTCACAAAGCTGGGGAAACTATAGTGGGGTTGGTCCTTGTATCGAGCACTAACATTTTCATTGCTTGGATGTTAGTGCTTTTCATGTATGGAGGCTAGTGATTCCCACTCAGCTGAAAACTAATAGCCCATTCTAATAATGTGTAGATGTAAGTATTGTTAGATATTTGAGCTTGTCTTTTTTCCAGCTCCAACTAATGACTTCTATATTTTGGGTGTGGAGGTGTTGCAGGAGGCTTGGAAAAAAATGCTTTTCTGCCACTGTTTGTGGTGGTGATGGTTTTTCTTTGTTTGATGTTGAAACAAAATTTTTTGAGCGCTTAGAGATATAAAATTTGCTACAGATTCCCAGTGTTCTGGACACAATGAGGAAGCAGCATTTAATCTTTTGAGAGACATTCTTTCTGCAGAAGAATATTTTGGATGTTCACATTTGTCGTCAGAAAATGGTAAATTCTGATGAGTGGATGCATTAGGAAATACAGTTGGAGATGCAGGTATTTTTTCTTAGTGCTTCAGCCATGGAAAGCATAACAAATACTTGTTGCCATTTTACAGGTATATGGTAATCTGTACTTATGTTTCTGACCTGTTGATGGTCTTCAGCTTTGGCTGATGATTGAAAATAGTTGGCAATTAAAATGTGATAGTTAAACCCATATTGTGGCCTCCCCATCAATGAGGACATGAGTAGTGGCAACTTTAGCAACTGTGATCAACATTTTGATGACCACTGCATTGGGATAGCTAAGGCCACTAACGCTTTTATGCTTACCTAAATGGGCAGGTTTTCAGTTTCAGTTCCATTAGCCAGAGTAAAGGAAAGAGCTTTGGACCTTTTTTGAACTTGTAGGAAAGAACATGACCCATTGTTTTTGTAGGTGATGAAATGAGAAGGGGAGCTCTTCATTTTAGGTCACTGTATTTTGCAGATAAATTGTTAGTGGTAAAAATGGGATCAGAGCTCTGTTGGAATATAAAAGTATTAATATAATCTTTTCTCTCAAATTTTGAACATATGAAGTTGGAAATAAATGCACTAGCAAATTCACTGTATCCAGTCAAGTAACTCAATCCATACTGCATACCTGGGGGGTTGCATTCCACCCACTGTTTCATTTTTGGACCAAAATGAAAGTTCGTAAGATTCTCTTTTTATTGCTAGGAGTTGAACTGTGGTCAGTTTTGAGTACAGAGATGTGTACTTATTTATTTTTCTAGATGTTCCTCTGACCACACACCACTGACTGTTGCCATAATCATTAAGAACTTTGTGAATGAAGATTTCAGTTACCACTCATACTAAAATCAAGACTGCAGAGATTGACTCCTTGCAATGCTCCATGTATTCATGTATTCTGTAACCAGTATAAGAGTTCTGTATCCTTGTATACAGGCTTTACTGGAAGTAGTGAACGACCTCTTTGAAGAACAGACTGACTTAGAGAAGATTGTCAAGAAAATTATGCATCGGGCCCAGACTCTACTCAAGTGTGAACGGTGTTCAGTATTACTTCTGGAAGATATTGAATCCCCTGTAAGTATACCTGTACCTCTTGTTGAAGGGTTAATACATGAGTTGTGTAGCAGCTTTTTTTGTACTGTGGAGAAGCTGTTTCATATTGAATGTAAGCATTGGATAGCAAGAATTCTTTCAGCATATAATTATTCAATGCAAGTTGCATACAGGTACCTTTATCCAGTACCTGTTTGAAGGGAAACCGAAATGTATTTTTGATTCCTTCTGTTCATGAAAGGCATTTAATATGAGGCCTGTAAGTTACTGAAGAATCTATCAGTGTTGTGACCCAGCAGTTTAGCTGTCTTTTTCATTTGCATTTGTGGTGGAATTAGTGCTTACTGCAGAGCAGCTAGGAAGCAAGCGCTTCTTCGATTTGGTTGGTAAAAAATAGGGACCTGATTTGTTCTCAATTATTTATTTGCTTGGCTTCTTTCTTTCATGCCATAGCCACTCAGAGGAAGGAAAAATCCTGCCCGTAGCTGTGTTCACATTTACCTGGAACTTAAGACCTTTTTGATGTTTTCAGGCTAATACCTTATCAAACAGGTGGCACCTGCAAGCAGTTATAGAACTGTACTTGTTCTTGTGGTAGAAGGAAGTATTTGCATTGAGCAGGTGAAGTGAAAACATTACTTTCAACGTTACTGAAGTATTCTTGTTTTTTCCAATAGCTCTGTCAATTTGATCAGGGAATAATTACTTCATTGCAGAGCTCTTAAGTTGAGCAGGTAGAGGTAAGCCATATGAAGCTATCTGTCCAAAGTTGGATTTCATTTTGGCATGAACCTTTGCCAGGATGCTTTAAATACTGCCATTCATAGGGTATGAGAGCCTCTTTTAGGAATGTAAACATTGTAATGATTGTTGTAATCAGGAGCAAAGTAAGTGGCTACCTTTAAATTAGTGTCTCCATTCAGGGTTTTGAGCACAATCTTCCTTTGTTCCTACTGATGATTAAAGCACTAGTTGAAGCATTCTTTTCTATCCAAGTTTCTTCAGATTCACTGACTCTGTAATTGATTTGCTGTGCATCAGTGAGAATCTAAATGATTATCAAAGAATCACAAGATTGTGTATATGGTAGAAAAACTATTTATTTCCTGGAGGAAAGCTATGATTCTCATTTCATTTAAACTAATAATAATTAAGTACTTTCCATGGAGTGTGCCCTAAGTTACACAAGCATTCATGAAAGCACGACGGAGCTTTGGATTTCATGTATGTTCTGCTATGTAATTTTAATGTTTCTAGTCTTTCTTACACTAACCTCCCCCCACATTTCTTTTTTAATTACATGATGTAGTTCTACTACATTTCTGTTTGCTAGTATATCATCTTTATTTTTTGTAGAGCAGTAGTATGTTGTGTTTGTAGCAGACGGTGGATGGCATTTCATTTTTTTTCTGTTCTTAGTACTTCTTCTACCACTTAACATGGAGTTTTTTCCAAACTACACACAGTCTACTCATTCATCTAGACCAAATCCTGAGATGCAGACAGCTGAGGTATTCAGATAAGCCAAAGAACAACAAACCCTTCTGTTTTTTTTAAATAATCATAAAACTTAGGTTAATTTGCAATGGGAGAACAGCATCTTAATGCTCATTTATTTTTATATATTTATATATATTATTAAAAATATATTCATATATATTTTTAATAAAGTGACAAAGCAGTTATTTTCCCAATTTCCCTATTTCAAAGGGTTAACCTTTATATCAAAATGGATCTCCATAGACTAACTTAATGCTAAGCCATGTCTAAAATATCATCCATATACAGCATGAAAAGCATTTACAATTCAGAACTGAAATGGAAGGTGAATGTTCCTTAGCATCTAAAACCATTATCTATGTTCTGTGTTCCATCAGCTACTCTTAAAAGGCTTTGTTTGTGTACTGTTGACACACAAGTTCAAGGAAAAGAGATTGCAATTACTGCAAAAGCATATTTCTGTTTAATCCCCCCCCTCCCAACCTCCCCCAAGGAGGGGAAAAAAAAAATAAAAAAAAATAGATTTAGGTAAAGCTCTGTAGTTCATGTTCAAAAGAGCTCTGAAGGGAAGCATACTGTTGCAGAAATGATTTCTGTTCTTCATAATTCATTAAGCTATCATTTGATTTGGTATTGTTTGTTTCATGATTGGTGTGTAGTACATTTTTACATTAATTCTTCACCGAGGAAACACAGATTTCATTCTTTGTTGTAGGTTCATTGGAGAAATATATGGTTTAAATACAGTAACTTTACATTAGTGTTTACTTATGTACTTGTAATTTTAACAACAATTTTAAATTCCTTTTGCTTATGTGACAGGTAGTGAAATTTACAAAATCCTTTGAGCTGCTATCTCCAAAATGCAGTGCTGATACTGAAAACAGGTTGGTGCTCATGTCTTCTGTGGTAATAGATTGCTTTATATTTTTCAGTTTAAAATTTGCTTGATCTTGGTTTTATTTTGTTATGAATCTTTAGATAGATTTACTTTAAGAGTGTCAGCCTACTGTTTTTACTCGAACAAGATTCCTTTTTGCTTCAAATGAAAAACAATGAAAAAATGAAAAACAATATTAACAATAAATGTTAATATTGCTATACACACTGATATAACATTATATCAATATCTCAAAAGAGAAGCCAGGAAACTAATGATGATTTTTGTTATTGAACTTGTGGGAAATACACAAATGTTGTTTTGCATGGTAAGTGCTGAAGTAAAAAATTACAATTTTTTAAAATTGTTTGCTGATCTTTTGCAAAATGCTTCCTTACAGTTGCATAGAAAGGTTCCAGTAAAATTTTATTTCTGTTCTTGGTAAGCTGTAAAACCTAAAAACCTCACAGAACATGCATATGCTAAAAATTGCATTCCTGTGAGTAATTCTGGTGTGGGAGTCCAGTCAAAACAAATGTATGTTTTGCTTAATAGGATCTGTTTTTAAACATTGACAAAGGGCTAGCTGTAAGTAGTAAGATAACTATTTGTGGGATTATTGTACTAATGCTTACAAGATAGTATAACTGGTAACACAGAAGTTCACATAAAAGGTCCTAAATATCAAATAAGTGGATGAAGTTTCAGGGATATTGTGAGAAGGCTTCTCCCGTCTTTTAAGACCCTAAATCAATGATTGACTCATATATATTGAATGCAAAATAAAATGATTCTAATTCTAGATTATAATTTTCCATGTGGAATTGTTGCCATAATGGTGTAAGCCTTCTCTCCATCTTGCAATACATAGCAGGCTTGAAGATGACTTTGTGCTTTGCCACACACATTTTTTTCAAACAGCCTTTGAAATATATTTATGGATAATTTCCTGCCTTTAATGCTTTTCTTATCTACTTCCAGTATGGTAAGAAATTGCCACTTCATTAAGGTTAATGTGCATATTGTCCTCCAAATTATGACAGCTCCTAATTCTTAAGGTTTTTCGTAGATTGTTGTCACGGAATTACTAAATTTACTAGCTGACAGCAGAGTCCAGGTCCACAGAAAGACAGATAGAAACTAGATCTCTTGTACTCTACCAACCACTGAAGAGATGGATTCTTGAGACAAAATAGGAAAGGAAAGCAAGTGATTAAAAAAAAAAAAAATCACTTTATAGGTTAAACATGAATAAATAATCTGTTTATCCATCTGGGAGCTGTAATTTAGTCCCTTTGAGAAAGAGCATCAGGGTAGCACCTGCTCTTTCCTAGGTCAATTAAATGGGTGACCATACATTCCTTTTGTTAGGGGTCAGAGGTGTGAATCAAGAGCTGTGGTTGTTATTCCTGTTTTTGTCATGCTTGATCAGTAGCCAGCTTAGTCAAGACAGTGTAGACTGGTATGAAAATAACCAAGCTGGCTTGTTTCTTGTTACCATAGTTATGTTAGCATGTTACCAAAAAGCAATTTGTAGTAGCCTGCACTGCCTGTAGTTGATTGGCTCAACTTTTAGTTAGAGAGATAAATAAACACATGCCAACTATTAGTAAGATTTATAAAGGTCTATTTCTGTGCATTTTAATGTGAAGACTGTTTTTTTTTCATTTTTCCATCCAGTGGGGGGAGAAACTGGTTTTACAAAGATTAAGTTCAGACTGGCAGATATGATGTTGCATTTGGATCTAACACAGGCACAGCTTGAGTTGCTGGCACTATAGTGGGAAAATAAAGGTTATTTAGGATACAGAACAATGCCAGGAGCCCTTGGCATTTGAGCATTTCTTCTAGTGAGTTTTGCCCTTTTCATTTCACATTCCATGGACCTAACTAATGCAGTGTCGTGTAGGAAAATAAATGGCAAGATGAGTTTCTTCATCATGACTCCAATGGAGATAAATATTACTATTTTGAAAATTTAGTGGAAATATAAAGAGATTATAACTGAAACCATTCTCAGCCTATAAGTTTTAATTTGAAGGAGGGAGAAACTCCAAGGACAACATAGTGTTTTGGTTCTAACTTTTCCTCCTTTGGTTTTAGAATAAATTAGCTTATCTTTTGCCTTTTTCATCTCTGCATGGTGAAAGTTTACCAGCTTAGTCCTTGAACATTATAATGAATATTCACGTCTTTTTTTCTTTGCTGTTGGTTATGAAGAAATACCTTGTGAGACCACACTTGAATTTATCTGTTTGACAGATTCCAGCACATGCCAGGATCAAGTTCAGTTCTGATTCATAAGATACAGTCCTTTATGACAATCACTTTATTCTTGAAGTACAGGTTTTCAAGTTTTTTCTCTCTTTGAAAGAAAGCTACCTGAATCTTTGAAGCCTTGAGTTCAGTTTGGATGTATTCTGGGCAGAGGTGAGCGGGGGCAGGTGCTGTGAGCCATGTCTTTCCTGCACAGAAGGCATCTTAGTGGATGATGTAGCCGAGATTCCTATTCAGTAACTTGAATACCAGAGGCGGTGAGAAGGTGAACAACCTTGGCTTGTATGAGCTGCACAGAAAATATCTGTGTTCCTTCCCAGCTAGGCAGGCACAGAGAAAGTGCAGAAATCCGTGCTATTGCTGTTTCACTGCTGCCATCCCTAGGAGTGATGCTGACTCCTGCACCGCCTCATTCTCTGCAGTGTTTTTTATGTTTTTTAAGGCATGTTCCTGCTCTTCTAGTCCTAGGAGTTGGAAGGGTTTACGTTAATTTAGAGTGAATTAAAGGTAGCTGTGCTTCTGGCTGCCCCGTCAGAGAATATCGCTTTCAGGAAGATCACAAGAACGCAATTGTGTGAGGGAAGCCTGCAGCACCACTCAGTGCTCTTAAAGCAGAGCATTCTTTCCTGTCTGGCACATGATGCTTCTGCCTGTGTGTAGGCAAAACAGGAGGCAGTGGCATGCAGCTGCCTGCATTAGTCCAGCAGTCCAGCTCACAGCTTTCCATGGTATATTGTTGCTTGTGATTTTTAGAGGCAATTCTGATTGTTCTGAGCTGCTGAGAATAGAGAGGGAGCCAGCTGGCTGAGATTCACATCAGAATTTAACACCGATAATTCCTCTGGTGAAAGTCAAGTGCATCTCTTCAGAGTGTGGTTGTAAAGCACTTGCAAAGATTGGGAATGATGCAGAACATACTGCTAAAACTTCTTCCTGACTTGAAATCATTTACAGTTTAAAATGCTGAACAGTTATACTCTAAACCCGATTTAAAGTGTCTTAGATTATAATGAAAGTATCCAGATTTTTAAGATATGAAGTGGGGATCTGTGCATTTGAAATTAGATTCTTATCCTGAAAGATCTTTTTCCTCCACTTCTCAAGTATATTGATGTCCTCAAATAAATCTTACATCATAAAGATATATTTTCTTACCTAGCTCAAAAATAATTTCTTTCAGTGAAGGCTCCTGTCAAAGTGCATGTGCAACATTTATTACAGTCACTCAAAATTCTTATCCCAAATTAAAGCTGATACACTTGGATTTCTTTGTGTAAATCATTATTATTATCTTTATTTATAGCCTTTTAGGAATATTGAGTTTTCTTTCAAAGGAATGACTTTAGTTGAATTAGCTTTCAGAAAATTAATGTGGCCAACAAAAATCAATCCTTTCATTTTGATTGAGTCTTCTGAGCATTTTACTGTGCATATGTCTTCATCTTATCCATTATTTTGAAGTTTCAAGCCATTGTGGTCTTCTCCACAGCTGTTCAATCACTTTCTCCTAGGTAATGTCTCAGGTGTTGACCAGTTTTATTCTCAAAGCTAAGATAGTATGCATACAGGTGTTCACACAAATAGCTTCCGCTTGCCAATCATAAAAACCTGTTTGCAATAAGTCAGTGAGCATTTTCCTGCTGAGTAGACAGGGGAATGGGTGAGGATTTTCAAGGTCTATGTAGACACTGAGTTTTCAGCACAAGCTGAGGTGATGCTGGTGTATTGAGCTCACAGTTCTTGTATCTTATGCTCTGTAGTCCTTTAGTAGTTGTGGCAGGTCAGTCAAGTAGGAAATATTCACGTATTATATACCTAGCAGGATCCACCTGCTGTAATACACAGTATTGATTTCAAGACTCATTTCACAATCCCTTCTACTGCCACTCTGATCTAGCACTGCAGATGAAAAAACATTTCACAAAGACAAAGAATCATTGGAAGTATGGATCAAAACGACCAAGTTATAAGCCTAATTAAAAAATTAAAATCTGAAATTCTGTGCTTTCAGGTAGCTTTACAGAAAATTTTTAGTACTGGTTTCAGGCTTATCTCCCACAGAGATGTGAACATGATCCTGTTACTGATTCATGTGTCAGTGGATTTCATTATTAAATGTGTAAGTATCGTGGGAGATCAATGATATTTTCAATCAAAGGAGTTGCATAAAGAAGAATTTCTTTTATATTCTCTTTCAATAAATACCAAATTGCTGCTCCAAAGATAATGCTTAGTAACCATTAGTAACTGTGAACAGTTCTGCAGTTCCTGTGAGAATGCCTGTAAAATGTGCTGCACTTTGAAGCAACATTGAATGTATTCTTTCCTTCTCTTGCTATATCTTCTGATAGTTTCAAAGAAGGTGTGGAGAAATCACCATCTTACTCTGACTGGCTAATAAATAACAGCATTGCTGAACTTGTAGCTTCCACGGGTCTCCCGGTGAATATCAGTGATGCCTATCAGGATCCTCGCTTTGATGCTGAAGTAAGATTTTTAGAAATGTGAATGTAACGTTGTATTTTTGGCATTGAAACTAATACAATGCAGTTTTACAGTTACAAGTAAAATTGAGTGTATCAGTTTTGAATTATCTTCTTTCCAGTATGTCCTTGTTCAGGCCTGATGCTATTGATGTGGCTTTGTATAGCTAACACGTCACTGAATTAGCGTATGACTACAGGCAGTTACTGGCCTCTTGGTGATTCTTTTTTAGTTAATATTTAAGCAATACCTTCCACTATCAAGTACTTTGAGATTTACACAAATTGATTTTTGTTGCTGAAAATTCTGCTGTTGATGTTAGCAATGTCATTGCTAGCTGTCACAGTGACTCGGATTGTGCACATGGAGCGTAAACAACCAACATCTAAAGAGACAAATGTTGTCTGTGGTCTTACTTGGCCAACTACCCTCTTAATCTGGTATTTTGCACAAAACAAATGTACGAGTTGGACTAGTTATTTCTCCAAGATGAATAATGCTCCTAGTAGATGTTTTGTATGAATCCTAAGGTATTAGTTCCAGTCACAGCTAGGAAGATAAAAATGCGTGTACATATATATACGTATAGAACCTGAATAAATGTTAAAGGCATAGAGAAAGATGAAGTCTTCACTGCATTCTGTCCAGTGGAACCTTACTGCTATGGGAGATGTGGCCAGCAGTTTGGCTGCATGTGAATCAGTGGATAGTCTTGGTCAGCAAGCTTACCAATCATAACACTACAGTAAATGTGCTTAGAAGTATTTCATGCAAGAGTTTCCTTGGCTTCAGTTTCATTACTTATGTCACTATGGATAGTAGTGCCCACATCAGAAGACTTTGTCAAAAAAAAAAAAAAAAAGAAAACTAAAAGGAGTCAGCTGTAAAAATGGTAAAAAAAAAAAACCTGTGTTAATGCTAATTTATTCAGAATTTCTAGAAATACAATTAATGCCTGGGGTCTATTCCTTGCCAAAGAGATGTGCTGAAATAAAGCATGCCAATCCTTGCTATGTTTGCAGTTGTACTTCCAGTATGTTATGTCCTGAATAATTCATTTGTCTTGTATTTGGTTTACAGTTAGTCCATTTGAAGTGCTGCCCAATTTATATATAGAAAAAAAATATTTTGATACAAAGGGCAGCTATTATTTTTCTGTTGGTGGGTTCATATGAAAATTTTATTCTTAAATTTAACTGTTGCAATGGATTATTTCTCTGGATAGTCAAGTATAGTAAAAGAGGAGCATAATGGAAGCTCTCATTTCTACATTTTAGGCTGACCAGATCTCTGGCTTTCACATAAGATCTGTTCTGTGTGTTCCTATATGGAATAGCAACCACCAAATAATCGGTAAGAACTTCCTCATAGCCACACCATTTTTTTGCTAATGTAAATTGAATTCTGTCTTTTTAATTCTGTGTTCCTTTTCTTCTTTTTCCCAGCTGAATATTGTTAAGAAGTTACGGTACCTAGGATGCATGCTAAGTATCCAAGAAGGGATGTTTTGACTTGGATACTGTATGGACTTTTTCAGCTTTCCCATTGTGTCATTGTTAAGTTATACATGGTATTGAAATTTGAAAACAAACACGATGAAAACTTAAATGCTAACACTATTAGTGAAAAAAGTTTGTTGTGCTTCAACACTTTTTTTTGTGGGTCTGACCTTTTGTGTATAACTCATGCAACTGTTTCTGCAGTCCTGCCAGACAGTTTCCCTCTTTAACGATGAAACGCACAGCTAGGGATGACTTACCGGAGAGACTGAGGCAGCTGTCAGGGTTGCCTGAAGCAGCAGTGTGTGCTGGATTAGGATGTGACAGGGTTTTATTGTCTGTTTGATAGGATGCTTCCCAACAACGATACACCTGCATTCTTACTGGCTTTTGGCTGAAAAAAGAAATAATATTTATAAATTAGTACCGGTTTCCTCCTCAGCTTTCCCCAGAAGATTTCAAGTCAAAGCTGAATCAGTTTAGACTTGTAATATTTGCATCCCTGTATGCTGTGGCAGTTGGTGAGAGCTGGAATCGGGATTGCTTTGAAGGTACTCAGTGCCATGCAGAATCTTTGAGCCTAATCAGTAGAGATGTTGTGGGAAGTGAGCCTTTTATATATACGGCTCATTCTTTGTTGTGAATTGCACATTACCTGAGAAAAGTAGAAGAGAAACTCAATGCTCAGAAGCTGATAGTTCGTATTGTTTGTCTAAGGGTAAGCTTAGCTAAATGAAGTAGGAATGGTTTGTTGCAGTAGAACTCTGTTCAGCTAGAGCCAAGACTTGGAATGCTTCCAGGTGGTTTAAGGAAACTATTTTTTTCATTGTTCAATACATCTGTGGACCAGTCATGAGAAGGACAAAAAAAAAAAAGGGTCTTACATGCCCAGATGTTGTTAAATTAGCTGATACTTAGGAATGAAGGTCAGTGTTGGTCAATTATGTAACTTCAAATTGCTAGGACAACTAACTTTACTCTGTTTGTGAAATCCTTTCCGAAAGGGATGTTGAACCTTTTCTGAAAAGCACTGGGAGTCATTTTGTTTGTCTCCCCAATGTTATACTTACAGAACAAAGACTAACAGCTGAAAGAACTAAGCAGTCCTGGTATCAAAACAGACAGACCTCCACATATTGATGTCTGCTTATTGTTTTTCTTGATAAATATTTGCAATTTTGCTTTCCAGTTTTACAAATATATTTTAAATGTTACTATTGAATAAAGTGTTCTGCATTATTAATTTGGTGAATAAAGATTATAATTTATATTAACTCTTTCTAAAGGGGTAGCTCAAGTGTTAAACAGACTCGATGGGAAGCCCTTTGATGATGCTGACCAGCGATTGTTTGAGGTAAGGGACTTCAATCTTGTAGCAGGATTTGATATTTCTGGGTAATGCTCGTTCAGCCTACTTAAGGGAGGTGGGAAGGATATGTTATCTACTCAGTAAGGCTGCATCCTGTCTGAAATAGCTCTTGCATCTGATCATTCTCATCTAATTAAGGCCAGTGACTTACATTCATTCTCAAGGTAACTTATATAAACATTCCTAACACTTCTAGTGATTTCTTTTCAGTTGCTAACCCAGCAAAATTCATCTTTATGTTTATATTATAACAAAATGATAATTGATTTTCTTTTCTCTCTTCTTCCTCCCACCTTTCTTTCATTTTAGGCCTTTGTTATTTTCTGTGGTCTGGGCATCAACAACACAATTATGTATGACCAAGTGAAGAAATCCTGGGCAAAACAGTCTGTGGCTCTTGATGTATGTGTACTTCTTAATGAAACTTCTTTGTGATTCATAAGTTACAAGTACAGAAAGCCACTGCTCCTGAATTTATTGTACTTAGCATCATTTTTTTAATCTACTTTTCTGCACCTTAGAGCACTGTTTTACAGAAGTCCTGAAGGGAAACTTCAAAATACACTTAGCTGTGGAGCTCATGCACAGCTTTACATAATTTTGAAATCCCATCTGATGTCCCTGATTGTTCGTTAGTTGTTTTGTTTTTTTGGGGGGGTTTGTGATTTGTTGTTTGTTTTTGCTTTAAGAGGGGACAGTGATGCCAAGCTAGTTCATTGCAGATACAGGTGCTGGAATGAGTCTTTGTCTTCTCCATCATTAACTGACATTTGTTAAAACTTACTGTTTTTACATAGCCTGTTGTCTTTCTTTTCTAGTGTTGTGAATGAGAGGTAGTGTGAACAGGAAAAAAGTGATCAGTAGAAACTCTGCTATTGTGTATCAGAGCAAACACACAATGGTCTTCCAGCACAATGCCTGTCTACACAACATTCAGAGCAGTTAAATGGATAAAAAGCTGATGTCTGTCTTCCTCCACTAACTTTGAAAGAATTTCTTTTCCTGTGTTTTTCCCCCATTCGTGAAGAGCAAAACTTATCTGCTCCAGTAAAACAGACTCTAGAATGCAGAACTTTCAAAAAACAATAGCTTCTATAAGCTGATTCAACAATGAAGTTCTATATTATATTCTAGAAATTCTAAACATAAGATAGTGGGGAAAAAATCACAAGGATAAAGCTTTGAACTTTGAGAACAGCTTTAGAGATTTACATTATTCCTAACTGAATCAATAACTGAGCAAGGTTTGAACGAAATTTAATTTCTTTTTGAAGCATTATGCTAGACTCATAATTTTTATAAGATTCCTTCAATGAAAAGAGTAGATTTGTATGATTTTAGTATTATAATAAATTTCAAATCTTGTAACAATAAAATTATCTAGATATCCCTGATGTGAGCATGCTTGTAACTGTGGAGCTCCTTCAAATTTCCACTGTGCTCACCGTTGTGATAAGAACCAAAACACCAGCTTTATTCTGAATGACAGAAAGTTTTCTAACTTAAAACAAAAATCAAACCAAACTGGATAGCTAAGAAGATAGCATTTTTTTTCTCCTCCTTTCCTGAAGATATTGACGATATTTGTCTTATGTATCAGAAATCAATCCTATAAAGCATGTAAACACATTAAGTCTTTTAGAAAACATTCTAAGCGTTAGTAGCATTTTGATTATTCTTATTTATGTGTCCCTTTTGGAGGGAAAGTGGAAATCTTTGCTGCTCTGGCCTGCTGCAAAGATTCCTTCTTTACATGTCACAGTCATTAATTACTACAAATTCTCACAACTGCAGTAATTTGTGCAATATAACAGCTTAGATTGAATACTCTTCCTAGCAAGAAAAAAGCAGTTGCAGGCATCGCACTTAAATATATAGATATAAAACATAGAAATTTATTTACTACTGAAATTTTGAATTTCTTGCTTTATAATACAACTTCTTTCTCAGATCTAAAAAGGACTCATAGTCATATAACTTGAATATACATAATAGATTTGATAAATGGCCACTATGCCTCATGACAGAGTAATTCCCTCTGTAAATGAATGACAACTCATAAGATATAGCAGAAAAATACTGTACAAAAGAAAGGTATATGTTGAAGGACTGTGAATTAATTTCTCAGTAAGAGAATACTTTATTAATATGTATGCATTTAGCTAGGGTGACGATGAGTGACATTTCATGATGACATTGTTATCATATACAATCAGTTTGATTTATATTATTTAAATATTCTCACCCAAGCGCAGAGATACAATTCTTGTAAGACTGACTAATAAATAGAAAACCAAGAAGTAAATAAATGCTGGGGAAAGATTGACTTTAAGGATTCAAAAATTGTGTATGATTGAAAAAAAAAGAATAATAAATATTAGAGAGGACAGTAAAAATCTACAGGGATATGAATGCAGATAAAGGAGAAGCTTTTTTGTATTAAGCGTAATCTGTCATAAGCAGAAGACTTGTTTTTCCTAATTTTATAGATTTCCAAGAGAAACTGCACTAGGGCAGGACATAGATACTTTCTGAGGAAGGATAGATTATAGTTGTGGAAAGTAAAACGTGGGACAGAACAAGTACATTGGCATTTGTAATTTAATCTTTCGTAGTACAGGGATTTCCTGTTACTGTAGAAGTCAACGCCTTTAAAACTAACATGAGTAAATACTTTTTGGGTTTATTGCCACAAGGTATTGCAAGCCAAGGGCATTTGTAAGAGTGTTTGGTTATTTGCATGAGTAGCAGGAGCATTCGTATATGAAAGCAATTTTAAAATTAGGAGTCTATATCATAGCTTAAGTACATGAGCAGACCAGTTGTTGCTGTGGGGTGAGGAGATTCTTGGTAGTACTCTGGCTTTCCAGGCTCTCCTGTGGACTATTGCTTCCTACCATGCAGCACAGGATGGCTTTTGTGCCCTGTGGAGTTGATTGTTCAATGCTAGTATCTTCATATAAGTATATAACGTATGCCGTGTATGCATACTTTTAGGTTGTTACACTAGATACACAGTACTTTATGCATTATATTTGATGCTTTCTTCTACACAACAGAAATGAAAAGAATGTCAGGAGTAGCATAGAGGTGCTAATTTGCATGCAATGATGTGCCATTAGCAGAGGCATTAAAGCTCTACTATGCAGCAAAAGGCATTATTTAATGTCTATAAATCTACAGTTATTTTTACATTAAATTCTTTCTGTTTTAATTGCAGAACTGCAGGATAACAATGTAGGAGCACTTATAAAAGTATTTACTATACATGTTTCATTACAAAATTAACTAAAATATAAATGTCACATGATAACCTGCAATTAATAATTGTATGTTGATATTCAGAACTGAATTATCAGGCATACATATTAATTAAATTTGTTTTTAAAGTCATTGATTAGACTGCAGGAAAGAGCCCTATTATTTCTTGTTGATTCTACAAAAGTGTTTTTTATCTTTCTTTCTGAGGCAGGTTTTATCTTATCATGCAACATGTTCAAAGGCAGAAGTTGATAAATTTAAGGTAAGGATTTAAACTTTTAATTATTTCTGAAAATATAACGGTGAATTAAAATGCATGCAGATTAAAGTTTTATTTTATATAAAAAGTAGAAATAATAATCAGCAGGATGTATGTGTTAGGCTGTCAGACAGAGAAAGTGGAAAATAAAATCTTAAACGTGATGAAGAGATTCAGTGATAAGTGCACAGAAGCAAAATACGGTGCCATTCCTGGCTGCTGGAACTACACATCAGTATGGGTTTGGTGGCCTCCTTAGCAAGAACAACCACGGGGAAGTCATACCACAGTGACAGCTAAGGAAGAAGCTAGAGAAAATGGGGAAAACATCAGGCTTTGCTTGTAGTGTGGAAGCTTTTTTGTGTTTACTAATGAAGTAGAGGATTCACAATCAAGATAGTGAATAGTCTCAGAGGGATGGATATAAAGGTAAGAAATCCTCTTCCAACTTCTTGAAATGCCCTGAGCAAAAGTGTAAAGCAGTGCATGCTGAAATTAGCATTGCTAGGAATCAATAATTATGCATTCATGCCAAATTCTGCCTTGCCAAGGAGTAAAGGGTAGGGGAAATTGTGGCCTTGCTCTTTCAATGCTGCCAGCACTCCAGAGCTGTTTTTGTGATGCGCTTTGCCCTTTTCTGCTCAAGATAACCTAAGGGAACTTGGTGGCCTTTCTTTGTCTGCAGCAAGTCTAGGTCTATGATGTAGAGAGTTTACCAGTGCTCTCTGAGAAACTCCTGTGGTGGATATCAGCATTAGTCTCCTGTACACAATGTACATCTGGAGGCTGTGGCAAGGTCTGGGCTATTGCAAAAGATGATCACATCTCATGGTGTGACTTCCTGGTGTCTGTCTGACCAGTGCTTCATGGCTGCTTTACAACTTGTTTTGCTAGCCACAGCTTCTCTGTACTGTGGAGGCAGCCATGATGAAAGCTGTGAGTGACTTAGCAGAACAGGTACTAGTGAGTTACCTGGGCTGTGAAAAGCAGCACTTGATAGTTCATTAATTGTCTTTTACAGCCCAAATGAAAGCTATGTCTTAATACTGCAACAGTAGCTGGTGACAAGGTAAAATGATCTTTATATAATATCATACATTTTAGTGCAGTTGCCCACACCTTTCTTAGATGAAATTTAGATTACTGGAAGCAAGTTACTTGAAGATCACTACTGCCATCAGAAAGTGTGCTTAGTAAGTTGTACTTGGACTTACAGAACACCAAGCACTGTGCAAGAAACAAGTGAGAGAAAAAGATGAAGGACCATGAATGTTTCATTGTATTTTTGGTATTTAATTTACCTTAGAATAACAACATGTAATATAGCTTTTGCCAAGATTCAGCAAATAGCTTGCTGAATTCCAGAGAGTCGTCTTGATTGTCAACAGTTCTCCATTCTGATATATGTAACTGAAATAAAGGCTCGCTGTTAATTTTTTTTTTTTTTTTTAACTTAGATGTTAGTGTGAGGAGGTGTCCTCATTAATAGATTTGCTAGTTTCCAAATAAGGAATATGTTGTCATTATCTATTTACCTTGAAGACATAAAACTATTCATTTAACTGCAAATGGTAAGATAAAAGAAGTGAAAAGTGTTTATTAGAAAGCACAGTAGCTATATTTTTGAATAAATGATAGAGATAAGAAGATAAGGACCATACTAGAGTAATGCTTAAAGTAAGATGACGTTTTTTTCAGAAGAATATTTCTCTCCTATATCTATTTGTCTTGCTTTCTATTCCCCCAAAATATGAGTGCTGGGTAGCATTTGTAGTGTCTTGCACCAATGATCTTAGAGTGAGAGAGAGATGACCAGCTTGCCTTATGGGTTCTCAACAAAGAGCTTATCCCCAGAGAGAGCCATCCATCTATGGGATAAAATTGCTCCTGTCTTCCCTCTTGCAGAGTTCTGGCAGCTGATCTTCCTGCCAAGGTCTCCTGGGGCATCCTACCTTCCTAGAAATCTGTTCTTTATCATTGTTTGTGATATTGTTATATTTTGTGTAAGCCCTTTGTTATTTGAGGGTCATCCTGCAGACTTTACTAGCTAGTAAACAATTCCTCCCTTTGGAAATGTTTGGAGCTTAAGTGTCTCTGTTCCTTTCACTGATTTATTGGCAGATGTCAGTGAAAATGTCTGTTATGATTTACCTGATGTTCCTGTTCAATCAGAACAGGAGCAACACCCTTGATAGAAACGTCTAAATGAGAATAATGCCTGTAGATCACTTCTGGCTTTTCAGAAGCACCTTTCTTCAGCAGTTTGAATGGGAAAATATGTGGAATACCATTGGTTGTGGAGCTGGACAATACAGGGAGAAGTTTGGGATGATGAAAAATGAGGGTAAGATAACTGACCGTGAAATGCAATTGGATTGTTTCATATCAGGTGTCACAGCTGTCTGAAAGCAGAAGTGGCAGCATCAATTCATACCAAACTGTTTTTGCACATTTTTGAAGGGATTCCAATTCTGATGTTACTAAAGTGTAGGTTTAATTGTAAAAATCTGAAAGCAGAGTTCAAAAATGCTTGTATGAGTAGAAAATGTTCCATTAGTGAATGGAGGTATTTTTCTCAGAAGAATACTTAATTATGTGAATCATTATTCTAAAAATTCATGTCATCAGTCCTTTTCAGTATTTGCATTAAAGCTTTTGGGATTTGTTAGCACTGACGCTAGCAGGCACGCGATACTCAGGAGGCACAGAGCGGATGTGCAGCTCGGAGGCAGTGTGGTGCAGCTCTGCTGACCTCGAGGGGACGCCTGCGGGTTCTGCTGCCAGTGCCTAGGGTGAGTGGGATGGAAGGAGCACACTCATCATCTGGTGAGCTCCTTTCAGCGATGAGAGGGGGTCTTAGCCCTCAAGACAGGTGCAAACGCTGCTTCTTAGATCTAGGTTCAGAGTCTGAGCAAGTCTTTAGTTTCTGTAGGTGATGGTCTGACCCTAGGGAAGTTTGCCATTGATTTCAGTAGACTGAAAGATATTGCTACTTTCAGCTAAGTTTGGCATCTGTGAAGCTGCATAGTGGTCTTCCCACTCTCTATCCATTTATTCATGATAGTCAGTCTTTTGCCCTGTGTTTTCTGATAGAACAAGGTCTCTGGCAAAAAAAAAAGTTAAAAGTTAAGCTTCAGTCCTTTTTTTCATGCCCACTTAAAATGAATTTTAAATAAAACTTTGAGTAGATATGCAAGATAAAATCGGTGTGTTTTCCTGAAAATAGTTAAGTTTTTAAAATGACAAAAAACCAAGAAAAACTTAATGGATAGAGTTTAAAAAAAAAAAAAAAAACTATTGAATCAGAATTAATTATTAATCAGAATTAATTGCAGCATGCCTACCATTACACCTGTATGTGGGATATACACTGTACTACCAGGTTATATGAAAGAGGATGTGCATTTTGAGGTGTATGAATTAAAAGAAGTCAAAATGTATGTAGGCTGCTGTGGGAGTAATGCCTCCTATTTATCTCCACAGAAACTACAACAGATACAAAGTGCACAAGAGCACTATTTGATAGAACAAATTCTTAGATGCAAATCACTATTTTTCAACATAGTCACCACCATTAGCTTTGTGTTTTCACCAGAGATGAACAAGGAGCTGCATGCTGTGCTTTGAAAAATCTGCACCAGCAGAGGTGACTCACTTGCTACCACTGAAATGCACCACCCACCCCTCTCTGTACTCACATCCACTGTTTGGTCTCCATAAATGTTCAGCAAGTACTGATGAAGGGCAGTGGGTGCCATTTGTTCTGCAGGGAGGAGTTCAGTGACACACCTTTACTGAATCCATGTTTCCATATCAGACACCATTTTGTCAGACTGTCCTTCTGCTGCCATCTGTTCCAAGGTAACAAAACAATAATAATAATTAATAGGAAGGTTCAACCTCTACTGCCATATCCCCCACACCTGCCTCTGATGTTGGAGGCCAACAAAATAAAATAGGAGGCAGTACTTTTGGGCACACTGCACATCTGAGAAGAATGATGTCTTAAGCCTGATTTGTATCTATACATCTCATCAGTACTTTCAGCATAACAGCTCTAAATTCAAAATGAGTTTTGGTGGGATAAATTCAAGTAAAACACTAGTGAATCATAACTATATCAACATTACTTTTTATTCTTTCAGAAGTTAGATATATGTATAATTTTAAAATCTGTGGCAGCTGAAGATCTTATATTTTAAACTTGAAAAAGGATGTCATTTTCATTATGTTCTAGTGTTAGTGTTTAAATAAAAGCACTTGTAATATTGGAATAGAAAATCTAAGATTAATGAGGTCTGATTAATCTAAGATTGATGATATCCTATAGCAGTGTTCTTCAGTGCCAGGTTTCTTCTCATTGAAATGCAGGCTCTCTGAGCCTAAAAATAGTCACCTTTTAGGCAAATATAGAAAGCCAAGATACGTGAGTAACGAATGCAGAGTTGTGTCCAGGGCAGGATATTTATAGCAGGAGTTACTGCCTCCTGAGACAGAAATGAACAACTCCTGTGACTTAGACAGCAAGCTGTCTCACAGACACAAATCACTTTTAAATTTAATATAGTTTCCAAAGAGAATATGTAAACACTGTCCTATTATGGGTAATATACAAGAAGCTATTTTTAAAAAGCTAACCTAATTATGCAGCTGTGAATGGTATAAGCCAAATCAATATTTAATGACTATGATGCATTATTTATAGCCCTGTGAGAGATTCCCTTTTTTAGGTCAAACAGCACATGGGAGATCTGCACAACAGAAAATACTGTATCACCTGCTTTATAGAGGCTTCCATTCAAAATGCAGCATTAATAACAATCCCTGTGTTTCTCAACTCCGTAGCCTGAGGTGTAGCTAGCTAAGACTTACCTTCACAAAGGGAGGTTTTTGTGTGTGTCTCAAAAACAGGTATTAATAGAGTGAAAAATGAGGAGAGTTGAACCGAAATGGGAAACAACTTTTAGGACTGCTGTTTTTTATGATATTGTAAACACCTGAAT